CCAGACCAAATGGTGGATTGTTCGCTCACGGACAGCTGTAGGCAGCACAACAGAATCCCAATCCACAGAAGGGATATATTAGGGCCCCTAAATTTGCCCCTAGTTTTTCCTTCAGGAACTTTATGATTTTAGGTTTCACATTTAAGTTTTTGATCCATATGGAGTTCGTTTGTGTGTATGGTGTGAGGTCCAGATCTTGTTTCATATTTCTGAAAATGGATATCCAGTTTTGCCAGCACCATTTATTAAACAAACATTCTCTTCCCCATTTAATTGATATCGGCCCTTTGTCAAAGATCAGCTGACCATAGGTCAATGGATCTATTTCTGAGTTCTCAATTCTATTACATTGGTCTGTGTGTCTGTCATTATACCAATACCAGGCAGTTGTGACTACTGCGGCTGTATAGTAGGTTTTGAGATCCAGCAGTGTGAGACCCCTACTTTGATCTTCTTCAATAGTGCTTTGCTTATCCGAGGTCTCTTTCCTTTCCCCGTAAAGTTAGTGATTGGTTTTTCCATATCTTTAAAGAATATTGATGGAATCTGGATTGGTATTGCATTCAATATATAGATTGCTTTGGGTAGAATTGACATTTTCACAATGTTCAATCTTATCCACGAGCATGGTATGCTCTTCCATTTATGTAGGTCTCTTATGGTTTCTTGAAGTAGTCTCTTATAGTTTTCTTTGTACAGGTCTTTTGTGTCCTGGTAAGATTTATTCCCAAGTATTTTGGGGGTTTTTTTGTAGCTATTATAAATGTTATTGATTTCTTTATTTCTATTTCAGCAATCTCTTTTCTGGTGTAGAGAAATGAAACTGATTTTTGGATGTTGATCTTGTATTCTGCTGTGATAGTTATGTTTGTTTGTCAACTTGGCTGGGCCTGGTTGAGTGGCTGGGCGGCTGGTGGTAGTTATTCCCCATAATGAGACTGGCAATCAACTCCATGGTGGGATCTACCACAAGCAGCTGAGTAGCTGGCTTTGCGAATGTGGTCTGCTTCCTGTATATAAGGAGAAGCCTTGGGAATGGTCTCTAGCCTATGGCATGCTTGGACCCTGCATGTAGCCGTGTTGTTGTTCAGCAGTCTGCTATGCTCTGCCAACCTTGGGACTTACAATGGACTTAAGTTAATGGCCTGCGATGTGGCTTGGTAATATCAGGACTGTGCCATTTTATTTGTCAACCTTGGGCTTCTCAGCCTCAGCAGCCAGCAGCTATCTGAGTGAAGAAAAGCCTCTAGCTTCAGTGGACCAGGAGCTGGGGGCAGAGTTGAAGCCCAAGGCTGAGGGGTTTTCACCCAGCCCCTAAAGCCTGGCACTCTGAACTTGGATGTAAAGCCTCCAAACTGTAAAAGAATAAACGCCTGTTGTTCAAGCCATCCCATTTGTGGTATATCCTTGTCAGAGTGGCACTAGGTAACCAGAATACCTGCCATGATGCTAAATCTCTCAATTAGTTCCAGTATATTCTTTACTGGGAGCTCTGGTAGCATAGTGGCTAAGGCACTTGACTACTAACCAGACGGCTGGCGGTTCAAACCCACTAGACACTCCTCGGAAGGAAGGTTGGGCAATCCTACTTCCGTAGTGACACTGCCTCGGAAACCCAAGGAGGTGTCGTTATGAGTCAGGTCTGACTCGACGGCACATAACAACAACAACAACAACAAATATTCTTTACTGAGCCTCTTGACTGTCCTAGGTATAGGATCGTACCATCAGCAAATAGGGATAGCTTGACTTCTTCCTTACCAATTTGGATGCCTTTGATTTCCCTTTCTTGCTTTATAGTTCTAGCTAGGACTTCCAATACAATGTTGAATAGAAGTGGTGATAGAGGACATCCTTATCTGGTTCCTGTTCACAAGGGGAATGGTTTCAGTCTCTCTCCATTGAGAATAATGTTGGCTGTTGGTTTTGCATAGATGCCCCTTATTATATTGAGGAATGTCCCTTCTATTCATATTTTGCTGACAAGATGTTTGAGATAGTTTTTTCAGTGGTTAAGAAATCCTACACATTCTTCCACTATTTTTTTTTTTTTTTTAAAGTCTCTGTGTGCTTCTCTTGGGAGTTCCTGGGTGGTGCAAATGCTTGACATACTTGACTGCTAACAGAAAAATTAGAGGTTGAGTCAACCCATGGGCACCTCGGAAGAAAGCGCTGATGATCTGCTTCCCAAATGTCAGCCATTGAAAACCCTATGGAGCACAGTTCTACTCTGACACACATTAAATAGCCAAGAGAGTCAACTTGATGGCAGCTGGTTTTTATCCTTCTCTGGGGCATAACTTTGAATATGGTAATTCCCTATTCAAAAATTTATCTCTCCAAAAAGAAAGACCACTGAGTTGATATTAAAGAACCAGTCTGTGAGTGTATGTGTTAGTGTGTGTGTGTGTATTATGAGTACATTTCTTATTATATGTTCTCCAACACTGGTTTTAGTTCAAAGTGTTCAGACTATGAATATTTACTATTTGGAAGTGTTTCAGAACATCAATTACACTACTAATTACACTGCCTCTAAGACCCTAATAGCATCTCATCAGTTGGCAAAAAAAAGTACTTATTGATAAACCAAGTAAGAAGATGGATATCCCTGACCAACAGATCCCCACTGCTGAGAAAAGCATCTTCACAGCCACGTGTAATCTCACCTAGCACCTAAGCTTCTCTAACACCTAGTGCCCATCTCCATAAGTTCCCAGAGGATGAGGCAATTCCTTATTTCCCAGATATAGAAAGGTAGTATGTAGTCAGATTTAGGAGCTCAGCATGCCTTGGGAGAAGCAGAAAGTCTTGGGGTCTGATGTGTTGCATTGAGGCCCTTACCAAGCACATAAAGTTAGGGAACCATCTTTCAAGTACAAACAAACTAGGCCCCTGTGTCCCATTTCTCTTTGTTCTAGTTTCCTGTACTGGTTGAGTGTTCTTTTTGCCTTCCCACAAAATACAAAATAATTTAAGTACATTTGTATCAGAATGATAAGGTGAACCAAAGCCAGTTATTGTGAAATATCTTCTGTCTTCTAGGACATTCATATTAATGGGCACCTACACAAAGCTTCTGAAAATTAATTTTGGGTTTTAAACTAACTCACCATCTCTGGTTTTTAATCTGTTTTAACAAGGTCACACCCAAGCAAATGTCCTCTTTCATGTAGGGAAGTAGAAAGCTTCTGCTCTGAGGACGACGAGGTTTGTGTTTTCCTGGTGGCTATGGTGTGCCATCCAACACGGGTAGTGGAGACCTTCCTAAGGGTGGGTCAGCATGAGCATGAAACCTTTACTAAGGAACACCTGCTAATTTGAAATGGATCTATTTGAAATGGAGCTTTGGTGGTGTAGTGTTTAAGGCATTTGGCTGCTAACCAAAAGGACAGTGGTTCCAAACCACCAGCTGCTCCATGGAAAAAAAATGAGGTAGTCTGCTTCCATAAAGATTTACAGCTTTGGAAACCCACTGGGGTTACTATGAGTGGGAATCAACTCAGTGGCGGTGAGTTTGGTTTTGAGTTGGAGTTCCTATGATATACATGAACATACTTAGGATTTGCAACAAGATTTTGATAATACTAATTTTCAAACACAAATTATCATATTTTCCTGCACAAAGTAAAAGAGGACTACTGCCTTGCTGGAGTCTCTGGGTGGTGCAGTTAACGTGCACATCTGCTATTCAAAAGGGTGAAGGTTCAAGTCCACCCTGAAGCACCTCAGAAGAAATGCCTAGTGATCTACTTCTAAAAAGCTACTGAAAACCCTGTGGAACACAATTGTACTCTGAAACACTTGAAGTCACCATAAGTCAGAGTCAACTTGACAGCAACTGGCTTACTGTCTTTTTTGCAGACCTTGAAATGAAAAAGAAATCCTATTCCTAACCTAATATATTTAAGAATTCTTGTAATATGTTAAATGTTAATTATTAAGCACAATATTTTTAAAAGCATACTTTTACAGTATCAAAAGAACAACCACATCTACTTTTTCATGTGGCATTTAGATTAGATGATCAACTTTCTAGCAAGGTAATGCATTGTGCTTTAGAGAAATTCTATACTGCGTTTCCCATTCCTTGGTTGGGAAACTGTAGAAGAATAGGACCAGAGTAGACCATCATTTTGAAAGTGTTGTGTTAAAAGAAAATCCAGACAGAAGAGAAGCACATGAGTTGGCTTAATATTTGTGGTCTGGAGAATCTTGTGTGGAATGTGTTTATCAGAATAACTTTAATGAAAGAACTGATCTTAAATTCCAGACCACAATGGAGAGAGCCTGGATACATTGCTTCTGCTTTAAACATATAAGTGCATGAAAACTAAGGTCAGTTGCTTTATATCATTTGTCTCTGGAAGACAACGGCTCTGCTGAATTGAGTTAGATACAACTTAAGACCCAAAAAGTGATGGTGGCGATCTGTAGCTATCTTGAGATATGCTTGTTCAGAGGACATGCATCTCTCATCTTCCTAAATGCTTTCATGACTCAGACTAAGTAAGTGCCGGGCACCAGGCCATGGAAAGCAGCCCAGCAGCCAGAAGACTTTTATAGAAAAAGACTGGCAGGATAGAAGGGCTGGTGGAGGGAAGATGTGCCTGGATGGGGGGGATGTGTGCAGGTATATATTGTGTATGTGTGTGTTCTGTGTGTGCAGTTGTGTGTATATACTGTGTGTGTATGTGTATTCATGTGAGTGTGGGTATGCTTGTGTGTATGAATGTGTCTGCTCTATGTATACATGGTGTACTCATGTGTAGGTGTATTGGCTGTGTCTGTATGTGTGTGCATGTTGTGCTTGCAGGGGTGTATGTATGTGCATGCATGTGTGCTGTGTGTGTGGTATGTATGGCTTTTGAGTATTTGCTTGCATGTGTTAGTATGTGTTTTGTGTACATGTACATGTGTGTGTGCATGCATGTGAATGTGTGAAACCACACCTACACCCCACTTAGTCCCTATGGCTGTCTTTCCTTCTTCCCCTGCAGAAAAGCGACTTTCCCGGGGTATCTCCCATGCCAGCTCAGCCATCGTCTCGCTGGCCCGGTCCCATGTGGCCAGTGAATGCAACAACGAGCAGTTTCCCCTGGAGATGCCAATCTACACATTCCAGTTGCCAGATCTTAGCGTGTACAGTGAAGACTTCCGGAGCTTCATTGAGCGGGACTTGATTGAGCAAGCGACCATGGTTGCTTTGGAGCAGGCAGGTGAGTGGCTCCTCTAGGTGTCCATGGCCTGCAAACCTGGCAGACTCACATTCCTCAACTCGTGAAAGACTGAGGTTGGCCTCACATCAGTGGGCAAGAAAAATATGTTCTCTAACTCGAGTGTTACATTCCAGCCAGTTTTCAGTTAGGATTCTGCATATATACACTAAACATCTTGCTCAATAGAAAGACTTGCTCTGTAAATGAACCTTCTCTAGTCCGGGACTGGCCAGATGTAGGCAGCCTATGGCCATGTGGTACTGAAACCACTTAAGCTTTTGTTCTGCCCCTAAAACCAACCCAGCTAGGCCAGTCCTGCCCTTGAGAGTCCCCCATGCTTCTTTGCCTGGCTGCTCTCCTTTTCCCCATCCACCTCTCCTCCAAGAGCCATGAGCTTTCTTTAGAGAAAGACAGGAGACCTCTGTCACTTCCTGTGTACATGGATGAGTTAGGCAACCTCTCTGAGCCTCAGTTTCCCCATCTACAAAAATAAGAAGACTAATACCTATCTGGTGAAGTTTGTCTGGTATTAAATGATATATATCTACTTCGAGAGCTCTTGTAGCATAGTGCTCCAAGTATGTAAGGAAGACAGATTCAGAACTCAGCATCACAATCCAGCCTCAGGGACACTCACAGACACATGGGGCCAGCGAATTGACACCCATAGAATGAAGGATCAGTGTCCTGAGAGGGGAGGTGTGCTTCAGAAGAGCAGGAATGACATTAAAAGGAATGACAGGTGCTCAACGACAAAATAATAAATTATTTAAAAAAAAAAAAAAAAAAGGAATGACAGGGTCATGGTTAGGGTAAGCACTCCCTCTTCTTCCTTGTGGAGAATCATCATACTTTCTTTTCTTTCATCTAAGTAGATTAGTGGGTGAAAAGCAAAATGGCATCTTATTTTAGACTGTGTGGTAACCATCTGTTACCAAGCTCAACTTAATTGGCCCCATTATCATGTATGAATCAGAGGAGTGCTGCTTTAAAAAGTCAGAATCAGTGACTAATAACTTTTCAACCATAACAACATCAGCCTCCCCCAGTGATTTTCACCTGTGATTTTCCTCCTTGTAGATGCTCGATTTTAAAATACGGACAGTCCCAGGATTACTAATGAGTTCCATTCCTAAGTCAGTCCTCAAGTCAAAACTGTGTATTAGTTAGAACAGTTAGATATGCTTTGTACCTAACATCAGTTAATCAAATATTTGTCTTAGTATATAGCATGTAGTGTACCTTTCTATGCACAAGAATCATTAAAGAAACACTTCCAGATACACTAAAACATCTTTAACATAGTAACATAGTTTTGATGTGCATCACAAAACAGTGCCCTTTTGTTATTATGAACCATTGTATGAACCTCAAGCTTTTAATATAATAAGCTTTACAGGGGTTGGTTAATAACTGCAGGTTGTACGTAAGTCAGACACGCATAACTCCAGGACTGTCTTTATTCACAATGTCAATTTCCACATCTTTTTTCTAAGTGAAGTCATAATATAGAGGGATCTGAATGACCACTCTGTCCAAGCTAAGAATAGGAACATTGAACCCACATACCCTTTCCAAACCTTCTGAATTACACCACTCGTGTGAAAAACATCTTTTCATTGGGCATCCCTTCTAGGTCTTGCTGGAAATGCTGGGATAGCACTGGGTTATTTTGGGTTCCTCAGAGACTGTGAGGTACTGGCATTTATCCCACTGGGTCTTCCTCCCAGGGTGGCCAGGACTGATGAACAGCCCCAAAAATAGTCTCAGCTGAGTAAGAGTCTTGATTTCTGAAAGGTAGTTCAAATTGAACCACTCAGCCTTGCCTCTGACTCACACAGCCACATAATTTATTTTTGTTGAGATTCAGTTACCTTCAAAATGTGATTGAATGTGTGGTCTAGACTGAGAATTAGATAGTGATAAACTCTCCATAAGAAATATGGATAAGAGAAAGGTTGCTCTGCTTGAGGAAGATGCCCTCTTTAAGATGATATTTATTCCTGTCTTAGAAGATAACTTCTAGATGCTCAGGATAAGGAGCTCTGGTAGCATACTGCCAAAGGCATCTGACTGCTAACCAGAAGGTTGGTGGTTCAAACCCACCAGTCACACCACACACACAGGGAAGCAAGACTGGGTGATCTACTTCTGTAAAGATTTACCACTTTGGAAAACCAACAGGGGTCGCTATGAGTTGGAATCAACTCAATGGCTGGCAGTGGGTCCCCCCGCCCAGCATCACTTCTAGATGAAAGATAACTTCCAGATATGTAGGTAACATATTTCATATTCATACATATTTCAACACCTGTGCCTTCCCTCCTGAGCTCAGAATTCTGGAATGTTCCGTGGCAAACTGAGAACAGCCTCTTTGAGGAAAGTAAGCTTTTTTGGGCCCGAAATGCACCAGATCATTGCAACCTACCTTCACAATGTGCTCTATCCAAGATACATTAGTAAGTCAGCAGGTCACAAGGGATGCCTTCACAGTGTGCTCTGACTGAGATACACTAGGAGGTCATAAGGGATGTTACTAGTTTTTCAGGTTTGGAGAATAATCTAACATTTACATACTTGTTCCCGTGGAGTCCTCTCCCTGGCTTAAGCACATGCATTAGTGACTACCCTGAGACATGTTTTCTAGAGAATGAATGCTGTAGTGTGGAAGAAGAGGAGAGTGAAAGTAAGAAAGCAAATTGGATAATGAACATTCTCTAAATTGTTTAAAATATGTGCCTCTTAAAGCTTTATTCCCACCCTGAAACTTTAGATGCTTTCCCTGTTTTATGGGAAGCCCCAGAGAGCTCAGAACAGGACACCTTTAAATAATTGTGGGGAGAGAGCACTGAATCCATGAGGTCAACAGGAAAGAAAAGGAGAAACATATCTTTTACAGCATGATGGTGGAATTACACAAAAGGAATTCTAAAGCTATGGAGTTGGTTCTCCCATTTCCAAGAAGAACAGACTCTCACAGAATTGGTATGAAGGAGCAATAATCATCATTTAAAGAACCCCACCATCTCTCTTAAGGGAAGATTACACTTTCTCAAACCTGTCTGCTCAGTTTGAGCCTTTTCCCTCTTCCTAGCAGCACAGGAGCCAGGTTAAATGTCTGCACAGGTATGTTCAGCTACATAAGCCTGGGATGTGAGGGATGAAGCCCTGCCCTTCAGGACTTGTAGGCCAGCTAGAGAGACCTGCTGGGACAGGTTCTCATGAAATGTAGAAGAGGACCTGAGGGCACAGATTAAAGAAGGACTAAGCATCCTTGAGAGAGTCAGGACTGCCACCAAGCAATAGAAGCTCCTATCAGAGTCACTGGGAGTGACCGAGGAAAGGGTGGCAAGGTGGTCCCTCTTTTAAGGGACAGTGACTGGAAGTGTGAAAGCACCTGCAGCAAGAAAGAAGATAGAAGGGGTGTTTCCAAGAGGCTGAATGTTTGGAAGGAGGAAGGAAAGATATTTTAAAAGTGATATTGGAAGGAAAGATACTCTGGGCCCCAAGTAACAAGGGTTATGAAAGGAAACACCACTTCCATGAGGATAGAAGCTACTAAAAGAAGCAGTATATCTCTACCTGCCTTCCACCAACCCTCCTACAAAGTCTCTGAGGCATCTAGAAGGAGTATGAGTGTGGAATTGCCCCAAAGTACCCTCTTTCCTATGAAAAATAGTATTATTTTATGTTTTGCAGACCACATTATTTCTCTAGCATATATTCCTTCCCTCTCACTCTCTCCCTCCTTTGAATATATAAAAAACATTCTTTGCTCACAGGTTGTACAAAAATAGGCTACTGACAAGGTTAGCCCTGCAGGCCAAGGTCAACCCCTGATCTCTACTCCCTGTTTTATTTTCCTTCTACTTTCTTTGAATTCATTTGTAGTTTCTTTTGTAACTCCTTGAGATGGATATATTTAATTAATTCTTAGCCTTTCTTTCTTTCTCTAGTAAGCATTTAAGTTTATTCACTTTCCTCTTAATTCTGTTTTAGCTACATCCCATAAGTTTCAAATGTAGCATTTTTGTTACTAAACAGTTCCAAAATATTTTCTCATTTTCATCTTGACTTTTTCTTTTTTTTAACCATGAGTTATTGGAAATGTTTTGAAGAAACAAATACATGAAATATTTTTGTTTATTATTTAATTATTGATTTCTAGCTTAAAAGTATTGTGATCAGAAAGCATGGTCTATCTGATTTGAAATTCGTTGAGATTTTAGTTATGGCCTGGAATTTTTTTTTTTTTTTAATATACATGTGTGTTTAGAAAAGTGTATACTCTGCAGCTGTTGGATGCAGTGTCTTAAATATGTCTATGTGGCCATTTATCAGGTTTTTCAAATATTTTATATATTCACTAATTTATTGTTTACTTGTTTCCTAAATTACTGAGAAAGAAGCATTAAAATTTCCTATTATGATTACCAAAACCAAACTCACTGCCGTGGAGTAGGATCTGACTCACAGTAACCCCTCCTTGGGTTTCCAAGGTGGTATCACTACGGAAGTATCTATATTTTCTGTGGATTTTTTGATCATATATATTTCTAAACAAATAACAGAAACATATTTAACTGAGTTTTATTGACTGTGCAAAGACATTTGACTATGTGGATCATAACAAATTATGGATAACATTGAGAAGAATGGGAATTCCAGAACACTTAATTGTGCTCATGAAGAACTTGTACATAGACCAAGAGGCAGTCATTGGAACAGAACAAGGGTATACTGCATGGTTTAAAATCAGGAAAGGTGTGCTTCAGGGTTGTATCCTTTGACCATACTTATTCAATCTGCATGCTGAAAAATTAATCCGAGAAGTTGGACTATATGTAGAAGAATGTGGCATTAGGATTAGAGGAAGAATCATTAACAACCTGTGATATGCAGATGACACAGCCTTGCATACTGAAAGTGAAGATGAAGCACTTACTGATGAAGATCAAAGACCACAGTCTTCAATATGGATTACACCTCAACATAAAGAA